AAGAAAGAAAGAAAGAAAGAAAGAAAGAAAGAAAGAAAGAAAGAAAGGAAGGAGAGAAAAGAAAGAGTCCAAATGATCAGGGCTTACAGGTGAAGTGTGACTAAAATTATGTCTCAAAAATGAATATACATACTTTATATATATGAAATTTTATATTCAAATGACTCTTATCTTTCAGAAGATCATGTAGGGAGGCTATGAATTATTCCAGGGATGCATTCATCTTAAAATCAAAAATCATTAAAAAATCAAATCCCTCCTTTGCTCCCAAAAATATAGTCTCATTATTTTGTGCTCATATTTGCTTACCTGTGGGAAGAGAAGCTTTTTTCTCTGAGATCTCTGGGTGTACCTCTGTGAATTCATTTATACACTATTAAATTATCTGAACCTTATAGAGTCCCAGAAGTCTCATGAACTATGTATTTTCTGATAGCTTTTCTTCCACTGTGGGTACACTCAGTCAATGTCTCAAAGAGACACATGGCAAATACCACATAGTCTTCATTATAGACCCCCAAGATCCCTCATTAAAATGAATCATTACTCATGGTCTTCATGCCAAGTGAGGCTTGCCAGGCCTGCATACTCCCTAAGTAAACCAGTACTTGTTTGGACATGTATTGCATTAACCAGCAAATTCTCTCAGATTTGTTCTGAGAGAGCTTTCAAAGTAGACTTTTTCCTTTGGTGTTCTGCCCTAGGTATTCATAGCTATGCCAAGAGCTAAACAATGCCCCTCATATTCTGTCATAGTATATAAATCCAAGGATTTTCATTGTTATCAAAAAGGCTTTTGCTCCTTCCAGACTATCTCAAAGCTGCCATACCAGTGACATGATAGTAGAAGTTTCAGGATATGAAATCTTTTGGTAGAATACCAAGATTGTAACTGGACATTCCAGAACTTCATGCCAAAATGGAAGAAAGCATTCCTCTTATCATATGCTAATTATAAAACAAATAGATCTCCCCTGCCATCCCCTGCATGGTTGAGCTGAATCCGTACCTCTGCATCTGCTGGCCAGACTGTCTGTGCTTTGCTCTGATTCCCACTTGCTGTCCATTCCCACATGGCTCCCGCTCCACCTAAACCTGTTCTCCTTCTAGATTTGGATAGCCAAAGTTGCAACAGCATATGGGAGCTTTCACTCATAGACTGGAGCCCATCGAGCGGCCACCCTGAGCAGTTCCATTTCCCAATCCCTATTTCAGTCCTCCCAAACTGAGCGTCAGAAGTCATTCCAGACTCCTTTTCTACCTCCTTGTGCTTCCCGCCATACCTCTCTCCACTTACCCAGGGTCTGGGACACCAGCATCTCCCTATCCACTTACGGTGGGCTCTCAATACCTTGTCTGCATACATCCCCTCCATCATCATTCCCCCACACATTCTGTGTACCCTAGTTGTGGGGTTTCCCCTAAAAAATAAGATGACCTGTATTAGCTTATGCAGGATACAACACAGAGGTCCTCTTGGCTTCTAATGCAACTGTAATTAACAGGAATTGTAAGGAATACCGTTCTTTTGAGTTCTGTGCCAAGTGCTTTTCAAATATGTTATTTAGCTCCCCAAATAACCCTTTGAGATAGGCATTATCTGGCCTATTTTACAGATAAGAAAACTAAAGCTTAGAGAGCATATGACTTGCCCAAGAAAAAGCCAAGTATCCTTGTTGTTGCCAGATATGGAATGCAAGCATTGTGTATCCACAGTCTGTACAATTCATATGTTCTCCACTGCCTTCTTCTGGGAGAAGAGTACCTCTGTGGGTGAATAGATTGTGTGTTTCGTTTTTGTTTTGTTTTGAAGCAATATATCAGAAGCAGCATGTCTAATAGTTAAGACTACTTTATGGGTTAGAATTCTGACTCCTTCACTTAACTTTTCTGAGCTCTAACTTAGTCAGATATGAAATAGGGACAAGGACCTCATGGGGCAGTTTTGAGGATTCAGTTACAGTATATAGAAGCCATAGAACAATACCTGACATATGTAAAAAATTTTTATATTTTTCTTTTATTGTCAATAGTAGTAGTAGTAATAGTAGTAGTAGTAGTAGTAGTGTTAGTATCAGTATTTCTATACTTACCGTTCTGAGGACAATGCAGAGAGTGTTTTCTTATCAACGGTCTGAGAATTTTAGTTACAATGTTGTAAGCCTTTTGCTTTTCCTTTTATTCTTTCTCACTCATTCTTACACTCTTCACTTTAAAAACCCAAAATAGCCCTAAAAGATATGAAAATAGTACTTTTGTTTGCTTTTTAAATTTAAAAGAACCATCAGGAAATCCTGAAGGGGGACCAAGTAGAACAGAGAGCTTTAAGATCATGGAATGTGATGTGCAATGAATGAATCATTGAACATTATATCAAAAACTAATGATGTACTTACTATACATTGTATAATCGAATTTAAATTAACAACAACAAAAAAAGATCATGGAATGTTGACTACTGTCATCCTCTAGGTGACAAATTCTGTGAGAGACGGTATCCTTACTCTACCTATACAGGACTCCTCCTGGTGGTCAATCTCTTCTTTGGCTGGGGCCCCCCAGCACTTCACACCTTTGTCTCCCTGTATAGCATTTGTGCTACTCACTACTTTGTTTTTCAATCTGAAAGACACTACTTCACTTTTCAGCAGTGGGTCTCCTCTGTCCTGAAGTTTCTTCCATCCCCTGCCCATACTCCCCTCCCATGGTGGTTCTCATTCAGTAGACCCCACATGAGATCTCAGGCCCATGCATAATACATGCTAACACTAAATGCAAGGCACAGCAGGAGCAAGGAGGCATTAGGGAAGGGGAGAAAATGAGTCAGAGGACTTTCTTCTAATGGATAAACATTTCTTGTCACTACAGTGAGCTTATTTAAAGTGGAATAGAGATTTCTGTTGTCTCTGGGCCCTAATGGTTTTTCATAAATTTCATATTCCAAATCTCATTACCCCAAATGTGTCCATTGTGCAACTTCTCAAAATAGAAAACAAAACAAAGTAAAATCAAGATGAAGGATGATCATTCTTACATGACACAGTCTTAAACTGCCCTAAATCAGAGTTCTAGCTCCATCAAACTTGATTATACTTTAGTTATGCAATTGCAGATTATTTTTGCTCTCCTATTGAAACTTTTCTTTACTTCTTCAAGTCTGTGCTGGAAACAAATATTGTTTCTTTAAAACAGAGGGAAAAAAACCTTAAAAATAAGATTGTACTCAAATTTAAGTCTTGGGAGGAATTTTTAGCCATGAACAAGTAAAATTTTTAGCATAAAATTCACACCCTCTTCACTAAAAAAAGTGAAATTTTAGACCATGTAAATTTTAAACATGTGAAGTCCCCCTACTTAATTGGATGCTGCTTCACCAGTTGAGTAAACTGACCAACATGTCATTCTCTGACTAGCAGATGACATTTTCCTTTGTTCAACTTGAATCTTTCACTCTCCCATAACTGCCTGTCCTGATGACTTTTACATCTCTAACAGTGCATGAAAGT